TTGTCTGGGAGTCATCACAAGTTAGAGGTTAAGAAACACAGTTTTAGTTTATCTTTTAAACATAGAAAAGTCACAAATAACTGTATATTATTCTTAGGTTTTAGATAACATATTAATCTTAGAATACATATTTTTAGTTATATGATGCTAAATGTATCCTAAAGGCTAAGAAAGATTTCTTTCTGTCATCATGAAATGTTCTGTTAATTAAATTCATTGTTGCATTTATTGAATTGCTTTTGTCAGAGAACAAGTATATCAGTGGTAATTTAGACTTCAACAGATCTCAAGCTGTGTCTACTCGGCATACTGATGACACAGGCAATGACAGTGACACTGCCACTGACATCTTGCTAGCACAGGATACAATAGCCAGAGGTCTGCGATTTAATTTCTTTGTACATGAATTTTAAAATCTACTTATTAAATCTATTAAATTTCAATGGTATATATTTTTTTGGGGGGTCAGTTGGTTTCAACAAAACACACTGTTCTTTTTAAAGAAATTTAATGGATTGGTGTATTAGAGTCATGATCTCTATCTACCATGTTATAGTATTTTTAAAACTGAATAAATACAAAGATTTTTAAACCTCCATTAAAAAATACTAGAAGAATTGTTATTCTTACAATGTATTTTGTTTTCCATGTCTACACACAGGTACAAGTCAAAGAAGACCATCACTTGGTTCTGATGGCACTAGTTCCACTCTGAGTGATGCTGATGAGGACAGTTCATTGAGAAGAAGATCTAAATCTGTAGAAACCAGCAGAAGTATGTACACACTGGAATTTTAAAAAGAACTGCTTTAACAAATATTTTCTGGGAATGAACAATCAAGCAAAAAAATCATATTCACAGTCAATAGATCCAATACCAAAAGCTACCTTGACTTCTTGCCCCATGACTGGATTCAATGTATCTGGTGACTACTTGATACTATTTCACTTATTCTATTCTTCAACAATGGTTTTTACATAATGGGATAATCTTCATTTGTCACTAACTCCAACATTTTGTCCTAGTTTTTCGTCTGTCCTGCTTCTTGTTCCAACATTTTGTGCTAGTTTTCCATCTGTCCTGCTTCTTGTTCCAACATTTTGTCCTTTTCTAGTTTTCTGTCTGTCCTGCTTCTTGTTCCAACATTTTGTCCTAGTTTTCTGTCTGTCCTGCTTCTTGTTCCAGCATTTTGTCCTAGTTTTCTGTCTGTCCTGCTTCTTGTTCCAACATTTTGTCCTTTTATAGTTTTCTGTCTGTCCTGCTTCTTGTTCCAACATTTTGTCCTAGTTTTCTGTCTGTCCTGCTTCTTGTTCCAAGCCAAAGCTATTCTCTTTTTTGTTTGCTCCTTCAAGGTCATTAGTCTTGTCCTGCCATGAAATATAATGCCAAATATTCATGTATAAAGTAATATACTCTTTAAAATAAATTAAGACCCTTATATCCCACACGATGTATCCTCTCCCCTGAGTTTGGCATAGAGACTAGATTAAAAAACTCCCTTACTATAGGCCTACTGCACATGAAAGTGATATTAATTTGAAATAAATTGTTGTAAATTTTTAACCTCATTTTTATTTGAAATTGTTTACAAATTTGGTTAGTAGGGGAGTCTTAGTATGAAATGAAAGACAATTTTCTGATATACTGTAACTTTTATTGATGCAAACTGAACAATCTTATTTCTTATTTTAACAGTATTGATTATTTTGTTACACTATGGTTGCTTTTATTAATGATATTTTTTTTTTCTTATTTACTTACATGAGGTTTACATACATTGTATTGCTCATTTTTTTTAATCCGAAAAACTATATATTGCTTGGCAGGTAAAGATTCTACTTTTAATCGTCTTTTGTCGTCATTACCTCGAGGTACACCCACAGCCAGGTCAGTCACTTCATTGGACAGTATGCGAGCATCTGCTGGATTTCGCAGCGTCATTCCAGCCCCTCTAGTGACACAGCACAACAAGGGAGAGCTGGCACCTAAAAATGTGACCTCATTATTGAACAGGTCTTGTAAATACAGAAACATACATTTCCTAAATATAACAAATACTTTTTATATGTTAGGGTCATGTAACCTGCATTAGACAAATTATAAACACTAGCCAGTATAATAGGTGATTGGGTTATGCTATAAAAAATGTATTTGCAGCTTGAGTCTAAAAACAACCAGCAATTAGTGAATTAAAGACTTTGTAACCAACCAAGGATAATTTTTAATGCACCATACTAGCCAACAAGATTTTGTATTTGCTTATATGTTGTGTATACAGTGTTAATTTAGTGCTCTGTAAGGATTAACTGAAAAATTAGGCTGTGTTTGGTGATCTTAATGTGTTTCTAAAATTATGTCCTGCTTACTAAAGGAAATGGAATTGCAACACAAATGTTTGTTTATTTTGCTCAGACTAGCAAGTTTTTTTAATAACTATTTGTTTCTCCATCACAATGTATAGTAAGTAATATTTGAAGTTTGACTGCATAAAAAGATTAGTAACCTGTTTCTACTCTTTTTCCTTAGCATCTTTAAGGCAGGTGAATCAAATATTACACACTGATTGAGTTCAAAATCATTTTAAAAAAACTTGGACCTTTTATTCCATAACTTATGAGCTGTCCCATACAATGACAAGAAACAAAAAGAGAAGCTAAGATGTCTATGTCTACCAATAGACTCTATCAGCATTTTGGTTCTTTCAATGGCCCAGATTCAAGCCAATAGATACTTTTAAAAAAATGTTTTTATTGTATTCAGTTCTGCTCAAATTTTATGTTTGAATTTTCACTGCTGTTACTTTTGTTTCCAGTTCTCTCACTCAAGGCTTAAGGCCTTTTGCCCCACGCAGCATTGCTGACATAAGAAATGAAGATGTCGTCAAATTCTCCAGAGTAGGAGGTAAACTCACTCAAGGAGTGGTTAAGTATGTTGGCCATCTACCTGGCAGGAGTGAAGCCTACTTAGGTGTTGAGTTAGATAAAGATGGTAAGTGTTACATGAACCTGTTATGCTGCCAATGAATTGTACTATAAAAAGCATTTTGATACATTGATATTGATGATAATGTGACTAGACAACAAATCTTACTGTTCCAGAGATATATTCCATTCCTGAAGATAGGGTAATAAAAAAAAATACTAATAGCAAGAGTAAAAAAAACCTGAACTACTGTCACCATGATTTTCAACTGTACTTTGTTGTCTTACAGGGGAGATAATTAAATACAATAACATTTGTTTCTGCTTCTCTTATAATAGGCAAGATATTTAATTGTTTTTATTTTTTTTAAATGTTTCTACTTTATTTTTTATTTCAGAAGGCAAACATGATGGGACATTTGAGGGAATACGTTATTTTAAATGGTAAGTTTTGTTATTACAAGTTATGAATCTCAAGGGGATGTTTTTCTGTTTGAGTTTCATACAATCTAACAATTGTATTACATATTCAAAATGGTGGGTCCATATCTATTGTCATATAAATATTAATTGTAAATTCATAAAATACATCAGAGATTTTTTATTCACTATACCATCACAATTATTAAATAGGGATGCTCTGTTATACAATGAATAACTTAGTGAAACATCCTAATTGTTGAGAAAATGATCAATTACTTTAATTATACATAAGCTTCTGAAGAAAAAAAAAGGGCAAAAAAAATTTTAACCACTTAATAATAATTTATTTCTATTTTAGAATACAATTACCACATAATTGATGAACATGTTGATTCTTGTTGTGTTTCAGCAAACCAAATAAAGGTGTATTTGTAGCTTTCAACAAGGTTGTGATGGCATGGGCTCCCTAACTACAGCACCAGTTGTAGTCATTGTCTTTTAACTTTATTTATACAAGTAATTCAAGTCAACTGGCTTTGACATGTCATCATTCTTATTTCTTTACACTTGTATATAGATTCTTTTTGTAAACATTTCTTAATTGTGAACACTTTGCAATGTGGCTAAATATTTATTGAACTAACATTCAACTTGATGTCTGCACAGTTTATATGAGTCTTTTAAGGCTCCTAGATATTGGCATTGTAAAGTAGCTTGTACTCTTGCAGTCATTTAGTCATGGTCAATTGTTATTATTATTATTTATTATTGTTATTACTATTATTTCTCTTTTTTTTTCTTGGATATACACTTTAACAATCATTGATTATTTAGCCCAGCTCTTGGTGGCCTGCCATGGGTAATATATTGATTATTTAGCCCAGCTCTTGGTGGCCTGCCATGGGTAATATATTGATTATTTAGCCCAGCTCTTGGTGGCCTGCCATGGGTATTGAAGGGTATACTTATTTTTCTAATACATTGTATTCATTCCGATTTTGACAGTATTATTAGTTGTGATCTACATTTTGTATCTAGAGACATGGTTAGTATTAGAGAAAATAGTCAAGGATATTGAACTGCTTGTGATTCTATTACTACTATGAATGTCTCATTGGATTTCTTAATTGTTGTGAAACATTGTTGTTTATCTATTGTCATGGCTGCCACAAATACATTCCGTTGATAAGCCTTTTTGAATTTTTGTGCTAGCAAACATTTTTTTCTTTTGCATTGTGACATGTATAAGTAATCAAGATTTTCAAAAGTATTGGGAGCCAACAGAATATGTGAAGAAACTTGATCTTCCTTTATGTTTTTCATATATGATAAAAAAAAAATTGTTACAATACACAATGTGATATGACAAATTCACATTATTTTTACTAAAAAAAATGTTTAAATGTTTATTTTGAGTCTCACATTCCTTGTATAAGATATTTTATTTTTGATAAATGTTATCACACTTCTTACATATATATTTGTATATACAGTATTTCCTACATTGTTTGTATTTGAACAAAGCCGTCCAATTGAAGCCCTGACATTTTTTAATTTTAATTTGAGAAATTTTAAAACATTTTTTTATATATAACATTTTTTAATTAATTAAAACTACTTTGATATTTGATCAGACCATTTTTAATTTACTGTGATATATATATATATATATATATATATTATTTTTATTTTAGCTTTAATATTTGTAATAATTAAAGCAATTGTTGTTCATTATTGCATGCAAGTGTCATCTTTAATTTTGATGAGATCTATGCATAGTTCTTTTTTATTCTTTGTTTTATGTACTTAGCTGAACTGTGCATGTTTTGTCAACCCTAATTCTAATGAAGTTTTACTTCATTGAATGTGCTGTTTAATCATTTCTTTTCTTTTGCCAGATAAAAATGAACTTTGTTTGCAATTATGCCAGAAACAAAATATATTACTGCTACTTATAGCAGTACTTTTATTTCTTTGTATTATTATAGATCATTTTATAAAAATTAGAAACTATAGATTTTAAAAATATTTTAATATGTACTATATTCTGTGAACTATTGATATGACAATACTGTATAGAAGTTGGTATGATTGGAAATAGAATTATTTCTTTCTTAATAACTTTTAGAACAGTACAAAGAATAGTTGAATAAAATGTCTATAAGTACAAGGCTAAAGCATACATTTTCTTTGGTGTATGGACATTTTTTTTAAAATTTATTAAATATTAACATAAATATCACTCTTTCTTTTCTTTTTTTTAATATTATAGGCTTATAAAATACTTACAAATATAGGATGTGAAAAGATATAAAACAAAAGGTAGTATTAGAAGATAAATTATTTTTTCTCTCTCTCTCTTTCTCTTCTCTCTCTCTCTCCCTCTCTCTCTTTCTGTCCTTTTTTGATACCAGTATGTAAAAGTGTGTTCATTTACATCCTGAACTTTATTCTTTGGTGTGGGATGTGTGTTTTGAGTGTCATAAAAAAAACAGCATATGGCTCCTTAACAAAGGGAGTGAGTCCAAAATCCTTATCTAGATGGGAATTTTTTATTCAAGATTTAACTGGAGATAAACTTTAAGGCAGCATAGAGGAAGGGGGCTGAGTCAGCCTTAGCAGTTGGGCCCTGGTCGAGTGTCAATATCAGGCCAGGATAATTGTATGATGAACTGAAGGGGAAAAAAGATTCTCGCGGGTCCTGAGGAGGTTGGCCCATTTGCCATCCCCTAAGGCCACCTCTCTTTCGAGATTCATTCTCCACATGTCTTCATGAGAGACCAAGACTGAGTCCTGAGCATGCTAGAGGAATAGGAAGGACTTGTTATACAAATGTAAGAATAAAAAAATAAAAGCTTTACACCAGAAAAGAGATGAAAAAAAAAGATTTAAACTTGTCTATGTGTATATTTAATGTTTTGCAATTTACGGTATCAAGAAACTGGCTTATAAATTTAATTTCTTAGAAGCGAATTTATTTTTAATGAATATGTCTGATGATGGGTATTAGAGCTTTGGTCTTAAAACTATTACTCATTGTATCACTGCATTGGTGTTGGCCTGATAAATTGTCGATTTTTCACTAGACAAGCTTTTATAGACAATAGTTTTTATATATCCTTCAAACTATAGAATAATATAGATCCTTATTTGAACAATAGTTGTCATATTATCTTGAACCTATAGTTTCAAATAGTAGTCCTATTAACATGAGGCCTACAGTTGATCGCTCGTCCCGCTAGGCCTGTATAATATGTGTCAGCTGGCTACACAGACAATTACCTTTAAGCCTCACAACCAGAGTTGTAACAATATATATGTGTGTGTGTATATACTCTAATTATTTGTCTCGAATGTTCATTCCACGTAAGACGATTGTTTGTTGTTGTTTTTACAAAGCTTATTTCAACTCAGTCTGTCTGTCTGTCTGGTAAAAACTTTGTACACGTTATTTCTCCCACACCCAGTCTTGGATTGAGCTGAAGTTTTGCACAATTATTTCTTTTACCTGACAACACACGAGTCAATAAAAAAAATAACTATTGGTAATTAATTATTTTGTTTGGTATCTTGAACAAGGTAAAGAAATTGTACTTGATTGAAGTGGTGGTATAAGCTGAAATAGTCCCCTGTGTAGGTCGTCGTCTGAGGCTTAGTAAATACAAACATGAAATAGTAACAATAAAGATTACTATACAATCTTCCATATTTATGGCTCTTTGTTAGCAAAGTGGTTACCGTGTTTTTTTGAGAAGGCTAAGAAAGCTTTAGCCTACTTGTTTGAATTCAGGTCGTTCATTTTTTTTTCATAAATACATTTTTAATAACTATCACCCTAATACGTGGGCGAAGCCAGGGGGGTAGGGGTTCAAACACCACCCCCAGAAACCCCTGATCGGAATTTAGTGACAGATTTTTTGCTTTGATTCTATTTTTTTTAGCTGAGATGTTAATACTAAACCATCTCTTCCCCCAACGCAATCGAGGGGGTTTTGAGTTTAAAACTCACTACCAGGGAGTTTTGCTGTCAAATCCCCCACTTCTATTAAACAAAATTTTAAAAAAAATGCAAACGACAATTAAAAGAGCATGGCTATGTAAGATTTTGATTTTGAAACCAGCTCCGAAATTTACGATAAAATCCCCTCTTCAATATAAGACTATCCATACATCAGGCACCAGATTCTATGATTCTATTCTTCCTGTGTAAGGAACTTCAAAAATCCATTTTCTTAGGTATCTCCTGCACAATATCCTGCAATTCTTCCTGTAATTCTTTCTGCAATTCATCAATTCTTCCTGCAACTCTTCCTGCAATGCTTCCTGCAACTCTTCCAGCAATTCTTTCTGCAATTCTTCCTGCAACTCTTCCTGTAATTCTTCCTGCAATTCTCGTTCTGCAATTCTTCCTGCAATTCTTCCTGCAATTCTTCCTGCAACTCTTCATGCAATTCTTCATCCAATTCTTCCTGTGTAAAATATTTCCGGTGTGTGTGGGGGGGGAGCCCCGAACACCATGCTATAAAACAGCGTTTCCCAATCTTTTACCTAATCGGAACTTTTCACACATTCTGACTATATAACAGAACATTCTGCTTATTTTTTTTTTAGAGAAATCAACTCACGCGGTGTCCTAATTATTCCAGTAGTTCGTGGAACACCTATTGAGGCCTCGCGGAACACTAAGGTTCCTCTGAACACAGTTTGGGAAACACTGCTATGGAATATAGATTATTATTTCAAAAAAATTATTGAAGTATCTTTAGCCTCAAGAGTGCATATGTTATTATATTGTAGGTCTAATTATCTTCTTAAGGCTCTTGCTTTTACTTTGTGGGTTAGCCTCCTCAAGAATTAGCTGCCATTATTTTATTTTTCTGATATGTTTAGGGAAACCACTCTTAATTACATTTGTGTTGCCTGCTGTATGACGCAATGTAGGTCAGACTAAAGTAATGAGAAAACTTTTTCTTAGGCTAATTAATCTTCCTCAAAGTCTCAGATAATTAAAGTCAATGCACTTCTGCTGGTTGGCTAGAGGAATAATACAGATAGTTGCCTTGTTGGCATGTTCACTTAAATTGTGAATGTTTTAGATCTATACATGGACTCTTGAATATGGAGTTTCTTTTTTTTTTTTTTTTTTGGTTCAAAGGAGGAAAATGAACAAGAAAGACTTGTTTCTAACAAAGATACTAGAGATCGAGAGAAGTAGAAGTTTAGCTCTGCATTGAGAGAGAAATACATCCTAGAAATAGAAGTTTAGCTCTAGATTGAAAATGAAAAAAATCCTAAAAGTAAAAGTTTAGCTCTGCATTGAAAAAGAAATACATATTCAGTGAGAAGGATATATAGAGAGAGAGCTTGTAAGCAAGTAAAATAATTGGACTCAAGAACAGTTTAGTTACGAGATTACGTCAGAGAAGAAAACTTATAGACGAAAGGTAGATAATTGACTAAAAGACTTAGATCCTCCCGCGTAGTTCGGCGCATTGGGCCACAAGGATCTGTCGCTGGCAGTGTCCACTCCTCTGAGGTCCTCCGAGAAAGTGGGGCCCCAAATTATACGAGGAGGTCCCTGCATGCGCTTTGATCGTATTGGTCTTCATGTCATCGCATCTCTTGGTATGCGTACTTCATTTTCATTCGGAGAACATGTTCCGCAAACCTCATGCGACGCTCTGTCATAATTCGAATAAGAGAACTGTCATTATAAATTGAACAGATGCTAAACAGAAAAGGTGAGCCGAGTCGGAATGAATGTAAATGTAAGATTTGCGGGTCCAGGAGTAATGTGCACATATAGGTCTAAGGTTTTAACAACAATGTGTAAATGATGTTGTCTGGTGTAATGTTGAAGAATGCGAATGTCGTGAAATGCTGGGTTCTTGCTTCCTGGAGTACTTTTAACACGTGACAATTATGTACACTACAAACTGACTTAAGTCCGTTTCAGCAGACAAATATAAAGCTTATTTTACAACATAATAATAATACTGCACTCCTTGTTAGTGCTACGAGTCAAGAAATAATAAACAACCCTATCCGTATAACAGCGGTATCAAATGTATCCAATATATGTTAGAGTCTCTAGATTACAAATCACGTCCGCATCTCAGCGGCTAACACTGTGCAGAAATATAGATTAACTAATATATGTCTCAAAAAGACCACTGGCAACAACTGCCCACAAGTTACTTTCTAACTGCAATTACTACAGACTTTTCTAAGTCGCTACTGTCCGTTGCGGACTAAAATATCTAAGGATACAGAGGATAACACTTTACTTTACCACCAGGTCCAAAGTATCCCACTTGACTTAACTAACTTGACTGAACTCAAAGTCAACTTTATTCATTCTACTTCCTGTTTTCTACATCAGGAATTCCACGTGTCATTTAACTCTTGACATGACGTGAACTTTAGATCATGCAATGTCAACTGAGACTGTGACAAAGTAGTGCACGCTGGGAATAAAAACAGTAGAAGGAGACAAGAAAAAACATCGAAAATAATTTTAAGAAAAAACAACTTATATTAAATGAAATTGTATCAATTAGTTTTAATCAGTTATGTAGTTATATATATGGCATAGTTAAATATAATAAATCTGTGCGATTAGAAATATTTTTACCACTTGTTTTTGTATAGCTTTTAGCTTTCTCAGTATGATACTATCACTTGTCTGGACCAGTTCCAAAAGAGAGAGGGAAGAAGGGGGTATCTCGGTAAATGTTTGCATTATCGTTTTTTAAAAGCATATAAAAAATGTCCACTCAGAGTCCTCGAGCGGACTAATTCAACTTATACCACGACATCTGTCAAGTACGATTTCTCTCCCTTATTCAAGATACAAAACAAAGCAATTAGTTACCAATTGTTTAATTAACTGATTGATTTTTAAAAATTGATTCTTGTGTTGTCAAGTAAAATGAATAATTGTATAAAATTTCAGTTTAATCCGAGATTGGGAGAAATAACGTGCACAAAATTTTTACCATACAGACAGACAGACAGAGAGAGTGAGCTGATATAAGCTTTGTAAAAAAAAACATTAAAAGAATGTGGGACCTCTGACCTGACAGTGGGATAGAAAGAGTGACAGAGCAGGAGAGTAAGCAACTAGGATACATGGTAAATTAAATGGGGGTGGGGGAGCGCACGCACACACACGCACGATCAGTGAATATCGATCGGCCTAATACATAAAGACGATTATTGATTCCCCTCGCTCGACCCCTACACACGTACATACACAGACACACGTCAGATGTACAAGATACGCTACAA